GGGGGGGGCGACAAGGGGTTACAAAGGCTGTTCTCGACTCCTCATCATCCCGATCCTTCATCCCCAACCTCAAATCCCCGAACCCCTAATCTCCAGCTCCCTCCTCCCAATCCCAACCCCCTCCCCCTACCCTCATATTATTCCCCTACTTCACCAAACCTTCATCTCGTTGTCTCAACAACCCCTCATCCCCCCACTATACTGGCGTAAAACACCTACATGAATTATCATCCAAACCGAGGCAACTCCATCCTCCATTCCCAGAGGCTGTGTACTCCACACGGTATGAGCTGTTGGCGGAGAATTGCATCATGTTGGGACAGACCTCCTCTGTACACAGCAACTGCTCACGTTTGGAGAATGAAGGACAAGACTCAGATGTCGAAGAGGAGTTGTTGGGTGTGTTCACAGGCTGGAACAGCTCCGAGGTGGTCAACACAACAGTGGGGAGAACTCGCTGTGAGTACAAGAGATATGGTTGTCCTTTGCTTCTTCAGATAATATTATTATTATTATGTGAACGAGATATTGCTGACCATAGTTCGCGGCTCATGTCTCTACACAGGCATGTATTTCTTTTTGGCGTGAGTACATTCATCAATCACTTGATTTGAGGCATCTGAGTTTGACCAGGCATGCTTTGCCTGGCTGTGCGCAAACTGCCACTTCGACGGTTTAGCGGTGATCTTAAGCTCAAACCGTTTCAAGAAATCCATGCTCCGAAAGTACACTGCTCATAGCAACCTTAGAATTACAACGTTCTATCTGATATTTTTGGCCGTTTTGAGTTACTCAGACCATGAGGTCAGAACCAAATGTTCTATTCTGTTCTATCAAAATCGTAAGATAATTCGGGGTCGTTATCAAGCTATTCAAAGAGTCGCATTCGCAAAAGATTGATTTGTTGTGAAACTCAAAATTGTTTATGTCTAATTTCTCAGAATCAAATATGGGTACTGCGCAGATAGAACTTTTTAATTAATTCTACAGTAGCAACATAATGTAAAGTTTTCGCATGGTAAGATGGCTAAAGGATATGTGTCTATGAATCAGCTGTAGTCACCATCAGGACATAGAACGCAGATCAATACTGCCGCAATAATAACAACCATATTATACTGCTTATAGTTTCCGAGTACACAAATTAACAATGTATTTTACGCGAATGTTCCAATCTGGCTGTCCTATTGAAAGGGAGTTAAGTTCAGAATTCCACCTCAAGAATAACCTTACAATATTGCAAGGGGTGTTAAAACTATGCACATTTGTTTATTTTTCAACTACCAATTATTATTGCAATGTTTTCATTTGTAGCAAAAATGTGTAATTAACCAGTTTGCTTGTGTCTCTGTGTCTCTGTGTGTATGTGTGTGTGTGTGTGTGTGTGTGTGTGTGTGTGTGTGTGTGTGTGTGTGTGTGTGTGTTTGCAGGTCACAGTTTGTTCGCACAGACAGACCTGGGTGACAAAGCTGTTGGCGGTATCCTGCTTGTCATCTCCCTTGCTGTGGTTTTGACAGCCCTGATTACGATCGTGAAGATCCTCCACTCCATGCTCAAGGTTGGTGACGTCGTTCAATTCGAGATCTCCCTCTGAGGTCACTGCGAAATACGCATTGCAGTTACCTCTCCTGTAACAAAATGGGTTTTACTATCCTTCATTATATGTTTTTGTTCTTTTTTGGTGTGTGTGTGTGGGGGGGGGGTGTTTTGTTTTGTTTTATTTTTGTTTTTGGCATAACTATAACTTTTGAGTTCAGGCTTTTTTCCGCTTATTTTATTGATTTAAAAAAAACATTCATACATTTAGACAAAACACTTACTTTACATACATATTATTATGTCAGCCTAATTTCTGTCAAGATTATCAAACTATCTAAAATACTTCTGTGTCGAGTGATTTAAACGCCGAGCAGATTACGCAGTCTGGAATTATACCCTTCATGACTTTGTCGCACACCATTATGGACTGTCTCCGGTCATGTGGTTTCTGAACCTTCAAAAAGTATGTCGTGCGTGGAAACGTAGGGTAGTTCCACTGAAATTTTCAATGACTGCATACATGTTGTATTTGACTTTACACAAAGTAAAATATTAAGATAACGACATACATTTTGATGATGATGATGATGATGATGATGATGATGATGATGATGATGATGATGATGATGATGATGATGATGATGGTGATTTTTTTTGTTTCATCAATGGACCTGGCGGACTCTACGAAGAAATCTTCGAGCGAGAGTGAGGTTCTTTTTCGGCTCCATTATCAATATTATGCTTAGCGGCACCTCCACTCGTCCAAATAACTCCATTCGACTTGCCATTGTTTCTGGACATTCAAACATTCAGCCGTCCCCTTCACGATGGGGAGTACCGTTCTCAACAAAGACAACCACAACCAATGATGATGATGATGATGATGCATGTTTTATAATATGAAAAACCGTGAATGTAATATGTACATTATGCTGTGTGTTACGTATTAAATTTTATTTAGTCAAGTTACACCTTAAAGCTCTGCCCCCCCCCCCTCCCCCCAACCAAAAAACCCCACCTTTTTCACTTGCCCCATGCTCTAACCCATTCAGTGTATATCTTTGCTTTCACTTAGTACCCCTTCCCCCGCCCCTATACCTCTTTCTGCTATCACATTGGTTTGCATTACGGCTGTAGCATGGCTTAACATGATTACTAAGATGTCGCTTATGGTTTGACCTCCGACCCCAGGGCTCTGTAGCACGTGCCATCCATCGCACCGTGAACTCTGACCTTCCCGGCCGTTTCTCCTGCCTGACCGGATACATCGCCATCATGGTGGGCTGTGGGCTCACCATGGTCATACAGAGTAGCTCGGTGTGTGTGTGTATGTGTGTGTGTGTGTGTGTGTGTGTGTGTGTGTGTGTGTGTGTGTGTGTGTGAGAGAGAGAGAGAGAGAGAGAGAGAGAGAGAGAGAGAGAAAGAGAGAGAGAGTGTGTGTGTGTGAGTCTGTGTATGTGTCTTTGTGTGTCTGCGTGTGTGTCTTGTGTTCTCTAGTGTTTGTCAAAGTAATGATGTTTGTATGTACGGGTGAATGCATGTTAGGTAATTGTTGTGTTTTTGAATTCTCTTGTGTTTGCAAGTGTGTGAGGAAAGAGAAAGAGACAGAACGACAGACTGACACAGACACAAAGAAAGAGAGAGAGAGAGAGAGAGAGAGAGAGAGAGAGAGAGAGAGAGAGAGAGATTATGTTTTACCTACCTACGGGTAAGAACGGCGGGAGGATACACAATCATACATAAATGAACAGTCAGACAAGTATGCAGACAGACCGATAGACTAGAATGACTGAGGAAGCGGTTTAAGATTTAAGTAATTTATTACTTAAATCTTAAACTGCTTCCTCAGTGATTGATGTGTGGAGTCGGTGGTCTAATCGTTATGCTCATAGACTCTCAACTTAAAGGTCGTAGGTTTGAAACCTGTCAGTGGCCTGATCTTGTGAACATGAGAAATGCACTTCACACGGATTCTCCTCTCTTCAGCCAGGTGGACATGGGTATCTAGCAATAGACAGCGAAAGATTTAGGCAGTTTGTTAGTGTTTTAGACAATGTAATTCGCAGATTGAACCGTGTGATTCCATGGAATCAAGAATGTTTCTGAATCGTGTTCTACATAGTCAGCTGGGATGATTTCAGTTGTAAAACTCAGAGGGCATTCTGCAGAGCGTAGATATACAATATATATTATATATATATATATATATATATATATATATATATATATATATATATATATATGGCTCTTTTTGTCTATGCAGACTGTCAATTTAGCTTAAGATGGTTTTAATGCTGTCTTCATGAAGATTCTTCCTTGGCTTATTTTTTCCTATGTTTGAAGCGCTGATTATGTCTCAGTGCTTGCATGCCAGTGACGTGGATCGAAGCTCTGTAGTTCCGCTGTTTCCCTTTCGTTGTTGGCGCTCCTCAGGCTGGTTGTTTCTAAGGCTGCTCTCTAGCATTATAGTTCTTTTCTTTATCTTTTTTCTTCATGTTTTCCTGTCCTCAGCTATTTCTTCCCAGATGCTTAGATAAGCTGTTTTTGCAAGTGTCTTTGTACCTCAATTTTGGTCTTCGTCTCTTTCCCTGGGCAGGTTCTCCATGGAGTAGTTGCTTCGGAATACGGCTGTCGTCCATTCTCTTGACATGGCCCAGCCATCTCAATATTTTTAAACACAACAGAGTTGTCATGCTCTGGAGGTCTGCCCGTACCAACACTTCAACATTTGTAACCTTGTCACGCCACGAAGTGCCTAAGATCTTGAGGCAGCATCTGTGATGGAAAATGTCAAGCCGTTTTTCTTACCTGCTGTATAAGGTCCATATTTAAGATCCATAAAGGACTGTGCTGAGGACACATGCTTCTTACGTCTTGATCTTTGTTTTGACGGTTAATCTTCTTTTTTTCCATGCTCGTTTTGTCAGCCTTCCAAAAGCTGTTGCTGCTTTCCCTATCCTGATGTTGATCTCATAATCAAGTGATTTTGTAGAACTGATGGTAGACCCCAGGTAACAAAACTTGTCCACTGTCTCAGGTTCCTTGTCGTTCAGCCATATATGGCTCTGCTGTGTACCTTCTTGGGTAAGAATGACAGTTTTGTTAACACTGATGACAAAGCTAAAGACCTTGCATGCTGTTGATAGGCGGTCCATCATTGTTTGTAGAGCTGATTCAACATGAGCAACAAGAGCGCATCGGCGAAGAGAAGGTCTGGTACTGTTGTTTTGTTGATTTTGGTCTTGAAAGATTGAAAAACGACCAATCAGTTCTCCAGTGGAGGAAGACATCCCCCGGTGACTTATTGAATGCTTGTTGCAGTAAGACAGCAAAAGAAGTGTTAAAAAGGGTTGGTGCTAAGACACAACCTTGCTTTACTCCGCTATTGATGTTGAAGCTGCATGATGTTGAACAGTCAAACTGAATGGTGGCCTTTTTATTTTCGTGGTTTGAAATGATGTAGTAGAGCTAATGGTAGACCCCAGCTGTATAAATAAAATTATTTATTATGGAAAGATAATGACCAGCGGCGTATAAGTAAAAGATGCTTTCTTTCACTCTCATCCAGTATTGTACCAAAATAAAGTTAAGACGAATTGTTAAACTACAAGTGATTAGATCTTCTTTGGCTTCAAATAGAACATGCAGCGCTCCTTGTACATTGACTTTACCCGTGGGGGAGGGGGGATTTTGTGATGACACATTTTTAATTATAACAACACATTTTAGATAGAAAAAGACTAATTTGCTGTTTGTGACACCACAGTCCCCAACAATCATCTCTTTTCACCAGGTGTTCACTTCTACACTGACCCCTCTAGTGGGCGTGGGCATCATGACAGTAGAGCGGATGTACCCTCTGACCCTGGGCTCCAACATCGGCACGACAGTGACTGGCATCCTTGCTGCAATGTCCACCACGGGGCAGCACCTGGACCAGGCCCTGCAGATCGCAATGTGTCATCTTATCTTCAACATTTCGGCAGTGATCCTCTTCTACCCTCTCCCATTCATGAGGTTCCCGATAGCCCTCGCCAAAACGCTCGGGCGCGTGACGTCAAAGTATCGGTGGTTCGCTGTTTTCTATCTCATCATGATGTTTGTAGTCATCCCCGCCGCTGTGTTTACGTTATCGCTGGCCGGGTTCGTTTACCTAGCCTCTATCGGCGGGAGCCTGCTACTGGCCTTTATTTTAATCAACATCGTGAATGTTTTACAGAAGAAGCGACCTCATTGGTTGCCCCGGAGGTTCCAGACGTGGGATTTCCTGCCTCGTTTCTGCCATTCGTGTGCGCCGTATGACGCCATCATTTCCTGTGCATGTCTGAGGGACATGTTCCCGCAGATTTTCAGCACTAAAAACGAAAATGTTGATTCTAGAGACGAGAGAATGAGTCTTGATATTGATGGCAGTGCCGTTCTCCTTCAGGTTCGGACCAGCTAGACCGTGTGAAGGGTTTACCTTCTGGTATGACTTGGATGCGTTTGATCTGCGTTCAGATCTCCAAAATGGGGCGTTCTAGAGTGTAGATTGGGGGTCACCAAAGTACGGCCTCCATGCCACATTCGGCTTGCGGGGTCGGTTCGCCTAGTCCGTCGCCATGCCACAATGCAAGATTTGTTAGAAGCCTGCTCTGGACTTGACCACGAACATATTTGTATCAATTCATTGAAAACCTCATTGTGAATTAAACAAGCTTTCATAGACTTTATAGATTCTAACTTATCTATCTTGGTTTGTAAGATTCAAATGTGTGCACACTAGAAGTTATAATTATCTTTCACAGCATTAAACAATTTCATGACATTTAAAAATATATATTTGCAAGTTGTCCTTATTTTCTAAAGTTAAAACATTTTTGGTATATGAAGCATTTTATGCATTTATTATCAACAGATTGTTTGTTTTTATTTGTTACGTATGCAGTATATTGTATTAAACAACAATGTCATCCGAGCCGCGATCGGCATTCTTTCAGTTATCCGGCCTGCAACAAAAACAGTTTGAGGACCCCTGATCAAGGTAGTTGCAAGAATGTTCATGGCTCACCTAGAGATTGGCTCCGTCCTATGGGACATGGAGGCTTGATCAGATGTTCCACCAGACTGTGTTGAAAATTCTGTCAAACACCTACCAAACAATATCTTACTAAACTGACTTCTAGGAGAATCTTAAATTAATTAACCCTCATTTGCTTAGTAGTTTGCAGCCGGCTTTGCGCCATATATTTTGTTCAAATGGTCAGGGAATTCCATGTAAGAGAGTGTCAGACACCTTTGACGGACATACCTTGTGGTGCTGCTTTGACTTGGGCTGCTTGGTTTGTGATTTTGGGTAAAGAACAATATCTAATATCTTCGTGTTTGACATTAGTTGATGCCTTGATTGCTCAAGAAAGGACCGAGTGTTATCTCATTTTCGTGAAACCGATATTGGTGAGCATCATAAGGGAGAAATTGAATGTCGTAAACGGGATTACGTCATGGTTGTAACCTATGGTCCTGCAGTTGTGAAAGTAAACAAATACATGGATCGTTCACAATTATGATATAATATAACGCTGTCTATGTTGCATGTTTTATGTTTATGACAGCAGAGAACAGATCAGCCTGTTTTGATTTTGTTTTTGCTTGGGTGTAAAGTCTCACTCGACTTCTACCTTCTTAAGAACTTTGAATTATAAATGTTTTTCACGAAAGCGTGGAATAAGGCACTTGTCAATTTTGGGTATATTCATGGAGTTATTTGTATCATCTTAAAGCCTGTTCATTTTCCTTTCTCAGAATTTTTTTTAATTCTTATGTCTAGAATAGAAGTCAAGATATTTGCTATTGAAGGAGGCGGGGTCACTTGGGTTCAGTGGTAAAATTAGCGAGAAAATGGCTGCAAAGGGGTGGGTGTCAACAGAGAAGTCTTTACAGGGAATCAGACCCACTCTGCCCACCTCTCTAGCTTCAACAGCACAAGGTCTGCTTCAACTACCAAGGCACCCCGGAAATAGCAGGTCACAAGAGAGTGACAAACATACACTTCTATTTTCACGTATAAGAAAACGTACTTCGACTTAAAAGATGTGCCAATAAGCAAAAAGATGTTGTGACACACAAACACCCACACATAGTACACATACAAACACACACACACACACACACACACACACACACACACACACACACACACACACGCATACAAACACACACACTCACACACGCTCACGGGAAGAGCATGTAGTCGAAAGAAAAGTCGGTTGGAGTGACATATGGAAGTGGTACACATCTAGACTAAGCTTTCTTCTCCGGTCTATGCATGATGTTTTGCCTTCACCAGTGAACCTTGTCAGATGGAAGGTACAGGAGGTCAACAAGTGTAGATGCGGTGAGCTAGGAACCATGAAGCATATTTTGACAAACTGCAACCTGGCTCTTAACAGGTACACCTGGAGACACAACGATGGGCTGAAACGATGGCGACAAAACAAGTGGAAGAAGGGAAATACGCCCCAAGCTTCAGAGGTATGGACTAATCAAGATTGAGTTCGTTCCGCAAGGAAGCAAGGTTCCCATCAGAAAGAAAGCAATTAATGAAGCCATGGAAGACCAGAGCGGGATCACATGGGAGGTAGCTGCTGACTTAAAGGGCTTCGAGAGATTGTTCCCCTTCCCAACAATTAAAAAAGCCATACTTGGTGTTATGGGGTGAAAAAGAGAAAGAGGTGCACCTGGTGAAGTTCACAGGGCCTAACGTAGACAATATCAATTCTGCACAAGAGCGGAAAGAAAATCGATATGAGGCGCTTCTCGGAAAAAGTGAGAAGGCAGGTTGGAAAGCAACCCATTTTCCGGTAGAGGTAGGATGCAGAGGTTTCATAGCAACTAGAGTGCATAAGTGGATGAGAGTGGCAGGACTTGTTGCAAAGAAAATTAATGATCTCATAAACTCCCTTCAGGAGACAGTAGAGAACGGATCTGGTTGAAGCGAGAGGACGTAGGCTGGAACGAATCCTAAGAGTTGGCAGTAGAGGAAAACAGTCGGACTAGCATGGAGACCTCACATCGGTGAGTGGGCTCGGTGCGTCATAAAGCTGTAGAGAGGAAGAGCCCGAAACAGCGACGAATTCTCTCCTGATCATTTCCATGCTAGAGTCATGGGATACGGAGCGTTCGACTGTGAGCAGTGCATTTGGCTGTTTCAGACTACGTATTGTGTGTACCTCAGTCATTGTCAAAACAACCCATGACCTTGGTGAACTCGGCCAGACCTCCGACTACTTTCATGTCCCCTGTCGCAAGACTGGACAGGCCGGAGAAAGAGCTGACCGTTGCCTCCCACCATGCCTGACTAGTCACGACTAACACCACTAGAGCCAGTCCCCTTTCGAAATGGCTAATCAAGATTTAAGCTGACTCAAACTGTGTAAATCTATATTATGATTGTATACTAAAAGGACTGTCTATGAACTATCTTTTTTATTTTAACAATCACCTTTGATTTTTACCATTATCTTTAACAACACTTATAGGCTATTTGAGAGGCGAGACCTTCTAGTGCATCCCCGAAAAGACAGAGCCACATAGGAAATTCGTGCAAAGTGTCTAGATCTATCCCAAGGATACAAAACGTAGGACCAAGCTGAATCTCGAACCCCCAAACCCTGAATCTCTACATTATCGGTCCGGTAGCCTAGCATCTGGACTATTGACGCCATTCCTTTATTTTGGGGCATAAAAGGCAGTGAACTCATGGTAAGATTACATTAAAATTTACAAAATTTGTGACAAAATTGGGAAAAACGAGTGAGGAAGTTTAAACATCTGTCCATGGTTTAACAACACACTCTTAAAGTAATGTTTTACGAGTAAATACAATTAAAAGTTATCGAATTATCTAAATATAGGCACACACATTTCCAATTTTATTTCAACATTTTTGTAAACAAGCGTCTGAATGATCCACCGCTTTTCAGAGCAAATGTGAGCTCTCTCGCAATTAAACTGTTTAAAGGCTGAGCAAAAACGTGATGCTTACAGCTATGCTCTGGAGGCCTAATCTTGAGCCTGTGTCTTGTTGGCTGGTGTGTCAATAAACTCTTTGACAGGCTAATATTTGTAATAGGTTACTCAACCAACTTTTTAGAACATTTGATTTGTCAGAAAATTGGGTTTCTTTCTAAAATAGATATTGGGATAGTATCACTTTAGGTGTGGTGGGACGAAATTGAAATACAAAAAAACCCCACCTCTTAAAGGCTGTGGAAATTGAAACGCCCTACCCCAATAATACGTCTAACTGCAGTGAAGTATAACTTAACCTCGTTGTAACAGGCTCTGTCAGCTGTCAGTCACAAAATGGCTATTAGGCAACCCAAACTGTCTTTTATTGATCGTAAGAGAAAACTATAACAAGTCAAACTGATTTAACCTTTTAGAGGCAGTGTAACTTCTACAAAAAATTTAATGCTGAGTAAAGAGAATTACACCTGCTGTTTAAGACAGGAGGTTACAGAAGCCTTTTTGATAAGCGGGCAAACAATGACGTAAGGGAGAACAAATTGAAAACTCATTCCCCAAACCTTTTAGGCCTGTTTTTATTGAAGACAGTTTAGGGGTTCTACACTCCGTTTACGTAATCTTAAATGTTGAAAATTATGGGGAGCCATGTATTTTCTCTAAAAGAGAAATTATCTGTCTCTTGGGAACGCTTTTGCAAGGTGAGTGACTAAATGTAACACTTTAAAGAAAAATATGTCACTGAACAAAGAACCTGCAGCGGTCTAATCTAAGACAATCTAATAGTTTTAATTTTAGATAACACCTTCTATTACGGACTACAGCCGATTCATTTTTAAGTGTCTGAGACACACTTATACTATATCACTCTCCTTTAAAGAACGCTTAGCTGAGTATAATAATTATTGACACACTACCAACTCTTAGCCACACTTACCCAGCCTAAATGAGATTTCTATGAGAGCTGAAAAGAAACCATCACATTTTTAAAAACAAGAATTCCTTATAAACGGTGCCTCCTATTTTTCCCCTTTATTTCCCTCGCCCACAGGCCTATGATGTCTATTTAATCTTGTATCATGTAGTGTTAAGTCATGGCTGTGGGCAGATTTCTCGCGAATTGCTGATGGTTCGCATACAACACAGGCTCACGATTGTAAGTGTGCACATATCATACCTTAGATATGTACTGGCATAGCACTCCCTGGGCACAGGTCTTCTTTTTTTAATACCAGTGGAGTCTCTGTCTCTGATCCCCCTTATTTTCTTTTCTTTTCTTTTCTTTTCTTTTCTTTTTTTTTTGCTTGGTCGGTCTGTGAGCTTGTCTGTCAGTCTGTGAGCTGTTGTGGAACTATGTTATTCGAAATTTGAAATTTTGCTCGATTTCCCTGCTGGAAAGCTTATTATCCAGTATCTCCGCCTTACTGCTAGGATCCTGTATCCCACTCAGCCTGATTTGGCCCAGACAGGCAGGGTCCAAGCTAAAACTGACAACTAACAAGACGGGGCAATCCTTCTTTACGTCATGTGTCAAGAGCAACCCCCTCCCCCACGTTTGCTTTTACATTGGTGACAGTGCTAGGCTACTGCTCGTTTCGGACAGAATATCTAGTCTAGTGTTATTATAATATTTATGTTAGCGCTAAGAGAGAGAGAGAGAAAGAGAGAGAGAGAGAGAGAGAGAGAGAGAGAGAGAGAGAGAGAGAGATCACTTGATCGATCATAAGTAGATATATAGATGTTGTTGTGCACCTAGCCAAAAGTATACAGTCCTGCAGTTCGGAAAGAAGAAGTGGCCGAATTTTTTCTTTAAAATGCTGTCTTGGGTTTAGTGTCTTTGTTTGTTTTTTAAATAAGTGTGTTCTTACGCCCCCATCGACAGTAAGTTCCTTTCCTTGAAGAAGCTTGCTAGTAGCTTCAAATAGTCCTAAAGCTTCTAACTACAAGCAACTTAGAAACTTGACTTTACAAGACCTTCATTAGTGTAGATCTTGTAGGTGTTTTCGTTTTTCTCAAGCCAAATATGACTGGAGACACTTTCCTTAGCAAGTACCCACTGACGTATGGGACAACATTTCCTCCAATTTCAGTGACTTGATGAGGTTAGTCACTGCTGGCTGCTCCTCTTTTTCGGGACTTAATTATGTTCTAAGAGCATAGGTGGTTCAACGTTTGAGTTATACCTGCTGGTAACAAACCTGAGAAGGAAATAGTCAATGTCGTCTTTGAAGTTCATACCAAGACTGGTCAGAGGACTTTATTTTAATGATTACTAAGCTAAAAGCAGTGCAAAAATCTTTGAGAAGGGCAAGTCTGTGACTACCTTTTCCTCTGATAGATGCAAAAAAAATTTCAACACAGTCCTGATTCCGCCAGTTGCTGAGCATAACTTAACATCACCCTTAACAGTATCCTCTACCAGAATCAAAAGGGTTTGAATTATTTGTATCTAACCTGTAATGCAAGGTAGGGTCTTTTTTTCTTCTTTTGCTGTTTCATTGCCATATTTAAAGTTGCTTCAACCAAAAAATGGTATATTTCAAGAAGGGAATGTGGAATGAAGTTGGTTTGTTACAATTATTGTAATATTGGTGATAACTTGCTTCCATTTGTACTAAAACCAATTAAGAAACTGTCAAACTTGTCTGTGAACAGAGATAAGGCCATGTGCTCAAACAGAAACATATTTACTTGACAGAGGAATGTTATCCCAACAGAAACTTTGTGACTCAGAACTTGAGCTACAAATGTTGCGAAAGAGTATCTTTCAAGGCTCAGAACACGTATTTGTGAGGAATAATGTGATCATTTAATCAACGTATTATACATGAGCTACATGTAACATCAGTAACAGGCTTACCCATGCCTCACATCTACTGGTAAACTATAGACAACATAGTTATAAATTATGGTAACCACTATAAAAAGAATTTGTTGAGTTTTTCTTCCTCTCAATGTTATGCTTTCCTCTAATTGAGCCTACAACAATGAAGAGTTCTCATACTCATAGTCATAGTATTGATGTTCTTTTTTTTCTTTTTTTTCTTCTTTTTTTTCTTCTTCTTTTTGTATTTTTTACTGTTGTTCATTCTTTGATGTTATACTACTGACATAACCTAGTTTTTGTCAACCACGAGAAAGCGTTCTACAGAGTGAACAGAAACGAGCTGTGGAAATAACTCGAAAACTACACTGTAAGAGGCCAATTTCTAGATAATATCCGTGCCTTTTACGAGAACAGCATAAGTACAGCAAGAACGAACCTCAGAGGGACTCACAGAATGGTTCGGTATAACATTTTGAGTAATACAAGGTTGTGTCCTATCACCACTACTATTTATCATATATATGGACAGAACCAGACGCCCTAAATGAATTACTCCTCGCTGACGACCTAAGCCTAGTACACAAAGATATCTCCAAAGTCTCCAACACCACACCACCAGTTTAAACGAAGAAGGTAACAACTACGACGTGAAGATCAACATCAGAGACAATGAAAGTAAGCATAAATCCAGGACCACTCAGGATACACATCAACAAAAACAGTCTCAGACAGGTCCAAGAATTTAAGTACCTCGGAAGTATATTCTCAGAGGATAGATCACTGAAAAGAGAAACTGAAACACGTGTACAAAAGACCAATAATGTTAGTTACCAGCTTTCTCCTCTATTGAAGCATCCTAACATCCCCATGAAAACAAATCTCAAAATGATCAACAGCATATTCACCCTAACACTCACCTATCAATGCCAAACATAGACCACGAACAAAACATTGGAGCAAAGAATTATAACATGTGAAATACGATGTCTTAGAAAAGCAGAAATAAGACCAGGCGAAACAAGATTAGAAACTCAGTAGTCAGAGAAATGGTGGGCACAAATACCTGGGAACTAAATGACATATAGGGTCATCAGTAAAAGTTTCGTACAAAAGAAAGCAAATGAAACCGTTTTGAATAAAGGTACAAAGACCAAAAATTGACAGTAACATGGAACATCAATCCGATCAAATCTGACGGCCACAAACAAAATTACTTGATATTTCCAGATGCCTCCCATATTGAGTAAGGCACATTTTGTCATGCTGAGTGAAAATAACAATCATGTGGTGACTCTACGCAAGGAAAGTCTCTCGCTCGTGCCCTCCATGAAGGCTTCTATGAAGACTTTAAATACTTGTAGAGGTTTTCGCACACACTTTTGTCCTTCAAATACCTTCTCAGGTGAAAATCGAGACGACTCAGGTCCGGGCTGATTTTGGCCCCCTTGTGTTCAGTCCACCGACTGACTGTACTGTTACTAAAATGGTTGCTGACCCACTGCAGATGCTATTTGATGCCATGAATTCTCATGGGGCATTTCATAATAATATGGAAATGATTAAACTTCTCTGCCTGGCTTTAGTACACGTCCAGGTCTCGGCACCATACAACATAGTCGGGAGGGCTGCAGCATTGAAGCTTTGTCTCTTAGCGAACTCCACAGGAGTCCCAAATCCTAACTTAGAGTATTCAAATGATGCACAACGTTTATAATTCTTATAATATAAAGCTATTTCTGCATCGATACAAGCATTTGAGGATAGGATACTGCAAAGATATTTAAAGCTTTCAACAAACTTAAGTGTCGTTTTGGATACTCTTATTTTAGTACGGAAGGTCTGCATATCACCAGTGACAGGTTGGAAGAGAACAACTGTCTTTGAGCAGTTCATGTCATGTATCATGCTAAGTTTTGTTTTTATCTTCAACCCACGAGATTTGAAGATTTTTCCGCCCAGTCTGCGCCTGGTATTAACGCCCGCAGGAGAGCCCTGGGAGGCTCCATACATCATTGCTGGGAAAATGATGCTGACAAGTGCTGGTGCAAACACACAGCTCTCTGCTTCACTCCATTTGTCCTACAAAAAGCTTCAGACATAATATCGTCATTGAAACTGGTAATTACAACTTGGCAATTTCACTCGAAGGACAAATCATGATCTACTACCATACCTCATGTAATATTCTTTCTAGGGATAATATATGAACTGTCATTTCTTTACCACTACCTTTGGTTTTTTACCATTATTGTGCCATACAAGGCAACGGACAAAATAAGCTAAGATTTTTACCAAAGCCTTTGTTAAAATTTCAAGACACGAGTAACAAAATTGAAATCCAAGCCCATGGTTTGACAAAACACTTCGAAATTCATTATGTCCAGCGCGTAAATTCAACTTAAACCTTTCAAATTGTCTAAATCAAACACATTAAATGTTTCCAAATCTGTTTGGACATCTCTGTTGACAGTTGTCACAATAAACAAGCATTGTAAATAGCAACTACAAAAGCTTTCTCTAAGGGAATAATGTGTAGTATTGTTTGGAGGCTAAGCAGACAACGTGATGTTAATGCAAGCTTGGTACACGTCGTCTCGTTGGCTGATCGGTGGAATTGTATTCTAGACAGGTTATTCAACGTTCTTTTGGCCATTTGTTGAACTGAAAGTATGACTAGGGGCTCTCGTAGTCAAGAGGTTACGGTGTTCCTCTCTTATTCAATAGGTCCCAGGTTCGAATCCGTACAGCGACGGAAAACTTTCTTCTCTAAAAAATATTCTCCTTTCCCCTCCTTTCCTGCTCTCTAAAAATGTCATGTTGTCTACTTTCGTCTTCACTTCCTGCCCCCCCCCCCACACCTCCTTTACGCCCCCCCCCCCCCCCCCCCCCCGGGCCCTGGGGTTTTTTCAGCGCAGCTTTTTCACAGCTACCCCCTGGCTCCTTCTAACTGCTGTCTTTCAGCCACACCCCTGATCTTATGGTAGGTAAGATCTAACAACTAGCCTTTTTGGATAAGGGCGAAAAATCTCAGAGGCCTGGTGTGGAAGTTGCGTACGTTAAAGATCCCTTGGAGGTCCAAAATCGATAAGATTAGGCTTTGGTATTCCAAACAACTGAAAATGTTAAATGTGCCCAGCACGCTCATGACCATATGCAGTTACGAGCGCCGGAAAACATTTATAAATTGAAACACTAAGGAAATTGAAACACTCTATACTATATGATGTTTCTTCGTGGATTTGTTTTCAGAGTTGACCACTAGCAAGTGATAACAGTATTTTTTTAAAGTCATTGATTGGACAATGTCTGAAGGTAATCTCACCACTACCACCAGCGCAGCACTCGAAGATCTCATCAGCTTCGAGGCTCGTCAGATTTTCGTGATTGTGTCCCTGGTGGTCGTTGGCGACGCCCTCTGCCTTCTGGGTATCGTCGCTAACATCATCAACATCACTGTGTTCGCCAAGCAAGGGTTCCACGACACCGTCAACATCAGCCTGTGCGCTCTGGCTGTCGGTGACCTCGGGGCACTGATTACTCAGCAATGGTTCAACATCTGTGTCAATCCCTGGTTCCAGGACTCGGACATTCCCTTCAACCCTCTAGAGATACAGAGCCTCACTGGCGGGTTCTCACACAGGTAGATGGTTTTAGTTTAAACAAGAGGAGGGCACACGTTCAGTGCGGGAAGAGAGAGGGGTCGCTCTGTACTTTGACAAAAGCAAAACATCAAATATACAATATGAATCTTTGGAACTTGGTAAATGAATGCAATTTAAGATTAATGTTTCTGGCGGTGGTTGACGAATGCTCTGGTGATGCCTGCTCCTTCTTTCCTACCAAATGCCAATTATCCTTAAACCTCCCCTTTCTTACTTTGTTTGTTTCTGGACTATATTTTGTCCTTCTGCTTTTGAAATCTTCACTGCCTTTGTCCCTCCGCGAAGCGCACTCCCCTAGTTATGTGTATGGATTACAACATATATAAAATACAATGTAAATTTTAGACAGAAAAACAAGCGTGATTGCGTTTCTGCTGATGGGTCAGGGGTTTGTTCCTTAGTTCATAACCCACCTAGATGAAGCGGATTTACTGTACTATGAAGGCTTGTACTAACCAAACAGAATTGCCCTTCTGCCGTCGCTTCAGCTCTTTACTTCTTGCCATCAGGTATTTCACCAAGACAACGGGATGGATCACGGCTTTCGTCACGTTTGAGCGCTGTCTCTGCGTGTCTGCGCCCCTCAAGGTCAAGGCGATCATTACCCGTCGGGTGGCTGTGGTCTTCAACGTGAGCATTTTCTTCCTCATGGCTCTCACAATGCTGCCAGTGTACCTCACGTCGTACTACGACTGGACGTTTTACCCGGCTCTCAACAAATCCCTTGTGGGCATACATTATACGATGGACAGGCAGGCCGTGCTTGGCGTATCCTTATTCATCACCGACTTTTTTGTACCTCTGACCTCTTTCGCTATTGTGATCCTCTGCACCGTTATAATCGTAGTCCAGCTCAAAAGAAAAGGGAAATGGCGGCAGATGGCTTCTGGTGCTGCCATGACGTCGTCAAAGCAGAACATATCCAGCAAAGACAAACGAGTAGTTGCCATGGTGACTGTCATTTCCGCTATCTTTATAGTCTCCTTCACGCCGATAACTGTGGTGCTCGCAGCTCGAGCAATTGAACCAGAGCTGAACATCATCGGCCGCTACGCTAACACCAACTGGACACTGGCTTCCCTGGGCCTGCTCATTGAGACTTTCAACTCAACTATCAACATCCTCGTCTATTATAGGATGAGCACCAAGTTCAAGGACACGTTTAAGCAGCGTTTCCCTTGTTGTTTCCGGGAATCGGTTGCACATGGATCTCAACAAATACATTCTGTGAACTTGAATAATCTATAATAAATAACTGAATCCTGTAGAGTTAAACTTTATTATGATTGAGATATTTGAATGTTCTCTTAAGTACTGTTACGAAAACTGCTTTGGTGAACATGAATAAACCGTGCTTGTTGAACGGTTAGACTGAAATATATGCGGAAATGCCTTACATTTTAATCAATTTGATGACTTTTTTGAAAATATAGTTGTAAATTGTCTTTATTTTATTTTCACTTTTTTGTTGTTGTTGGTTTGTTTTTGTTTTTTTTGGGGGGGGGGTTGGGGGGCGGGGTATATTAGGTATTTCATATATTATATTTAGTAATCAGAAGACTGGTTGGTTTAATTTTTTTATGTGTGCAGTATATTGTATTAACAACGATGTCATTCGAGCCACGATCGGCATTCCTTCAGTTATCCGGTCTAGAACGAAAACAGCTTGTTAAACCACTGGTCTCGAAGGAATGTTCATGGATCACCTAGAGATTGGCTCCGTCCTATTGGAAATGGGGGCTTGATCAGATGTACCACCATATTGTGTTAAAAATTGTGTTAAACACAAACCAAACCATATCTTACTTAGCTGACTTTTGGGAGAAGCTTAAATTAATTAATCCTCATTTGCTTACCAGTTTGTAGCAGGCGTTGAGCTATACATTTTGGTCAAGTGGTCCGGGAATTCCCTGCAAGAGAGTGCCAGGCAACCTTGACGGTCTACTGAACAGACATAGTGGTGTGACTTTGACTTGGGCTGCTTGTATTGTGTTTTCGCGTAAAAAAGATAACATATCTAATAATAATTATCACCGATGTTGGTGAACATGTCAAGGGAGAAATGTTGAATTTCATTAATGAAATAACTTCATGGTTGTAGCCTATGGTCCTGCGGTAGTGAAAGTAAACAAATACACGAATAGTTCTCAACCATGATATAGATCTAACGCTGTCTATGGTTCATGTTTTATATTTATGACAGCGGAACAGACAGCAGAGAACATATCAGACTTTGATTTTGTCGTTTCTGGTGTGTACGTCTCACTCGATATTTACCTTTTTAAGAACTACGAATATAATATTTATGAACTATTTCGGAAGTCTCCTTTTCAGTGTAAGTGTTTTTACGCCCCCGTCGAACCGATTCAGGTCATTTAAGAGGTGAGTTTCGAACCTGCCTGTCAGGGCCAGCCTCGTCTGAGAAGGATACAACGTCTCAGCAGAAAGACAGAGATGCTCCATAGAAATTCCCACACACGGGAGTCGAACTCAGGTCTTTTGCTTGCAACGGCGAAGCTCCTGACCGCTACACCACATATAATCCATAAACAAGGAAAATACGGGAATGCTTTCTTACTATACTAAGAAATATAATACGAACATAATACGGTAACTACAAGAATAAACAAAAATAGCCATTTGTAAACTAGAGTGAACTTCTTCTTTAATGACACTTATATAGTAGCTGTGAAATAAAGAGCGGCAAGAAATACAATCATAGTGGAATCAATGTTCTCCGCTAAATGAGAGAGAAGAGTAACGAGGATGTCATACAAATAACGCGCAAGACACCTTGAAACTCTTCTTGAAACAAGAGCGACTCTTTGGTTAAAGATTTAAAAAAACAACCCATTGATTAATGATATCCCACAGGGAGAGTATGTATAATAACATAATATAAGAACTGAGTACATCTTTGGAATGACGGAAAATGTGTAAAAATGTTAATCAATCATGTAGAAAATGAGATGATGGAAAAATTATGTTGGTACACTTCTATTCTCACATGTAAGAAAACGTACTTTGACCAAAGCGATGTGCTATAGAAAAAATTAAGTTGCAAGCACATGCACGTACATATAGAATGCAAGAGTACATACACACTCACAAACAGGCACACACCACCCAAGGACATAAACATCCCCTAATATCTCGGGGGTAGCAGTGCAACCATCGTAACTGGAATTTCAGTTTAAGGAGCACTTTCACAAAACAATCGAACAACTGAGTTGTTTTTTTATTGAGCATGCGCACCTTGCCCAATGCCTTGAAATATAATAATAATAATAATAATAATAATAATAATAATAATAATAATAATAATAATAATAATATGTCAAAAAGCGATTTTCGCCAAAACCATGAAATAGTTCATAAATATTATATTCGTACGATACTTGAGCTACTACCCCGCGATGCACAAAACACTAACACACACGCACGCACGCACACACACACACACACACACACACACACACATACACACACACACACACACTCACACACACACACACACACACACACACACTCTCTCTCTCACACACACACACACACACACACCAGTAAGAATGGATGCTCTTTGGTATCCTTCAGCTCCGCATAACTTATTGGAAAACTAGACTGCCCCACAGGTAATAAAGAGATCACTGCTGCGCGTATTATTTTTAAGGACATATCACGAAGAAAATTGATTACTTTTTTTAAGCCTTCAGTTCAGATGTCGTACCAATCAACTTCACATAATATACAAGCACAACTCTTGGCTTTGGATACGTTGATCTTGACTGTTAGAAAAGTATTCTCCCTTTGTCTTGTTTATAGACTTACAACGGCGTCTCTGGTGTTGTAAAGAGGTAAGGCGCCCCGACGTCGCACGCAGAATACATCAGTTCGAAAGAGTATTTGAACCCATAGCAATATTTGAGAAACATTACTTTTTCTCAATACGGATACTCTCTCTCTCTCTCTCTCTCTCTCTCTCTCTCTCTCTCTCTCTCTCTCTCTCTCTCTCTCTCTCTCTTTCTCTCTATCTTTTTTCTTTCTCTTTCCCTCTTTCTCTCTCTCTTTCTCTCTCTCTCTCACACTCTCTCTCTTTCTCTCTCTCTCTCTATCTCTCTCTCTCTCTTTCTCTCTCTCTCTCACACTCTCTCTCTTTCTCTCTCTCTCTCTATCTCTCTCTCTCTCTTTCTCTCTCTCTCTCTCTCTTTCTCATATCTTCGTTCTCTCCCTCTTGCTCTCTCTCTCTCTCTCTAAACCTCAAACTCTCTATCTCTCTACGCGCGCACACACACACACACACACACACACACACACACACACACACACACACACACACACACACACATAAACACAACATCCACTGACAAACATTAAAACATACAGACACAAATACACACAGAAACACAGACAGAAGATACACACACACACACACACACACACACACACACACACACACACACACACACACACACACGAAGATACACACACTCACGAAGATACACACACTCACGCACACTCACAAATACAACTGCAATCGTTAGGGCAAATCACAGAGTTGCTGTGTACACCTCAGTCTTTGTCAAAACAGCCCATGACCTTGGTGAACTCAGCCAGACCTCCGTCTATTTTCATGTCCCCTGTCGCAAGACTGGACAGGCCGGAGAAAGAGTTGATCGCTGCCTCCCGCCACACCTGACTGGTCACTGTCACCTTGATGTCCACCTTGTCAGTGGGAGGTCGGTCTGAGATTAGGACCACGGCGTTACGAGTTGTCATGGTGATACTTTCTTTCACATCCGTGAACTCGAAGTGAATGGTGGAGTTGACCACTCCGCACTCTTCAGCGTTCCATCTCACCTGCAAGTGTGTATGTTTGCATGCATGCGTGCGAGTGTACGTGTGTGTGTGTGTGTGTGTGTGTGTGTGTGTGTGTGTGTGTGTATGTGTGTGTGCGTGTGTGCGTGTATGTGTGTGTGTGTGTGCGTGCGTGTGTGTGTGTATATGTATGTATGTGTATGTGTGTGGGTGGGTGTGTGTGTGGGTGGGTGTGGGTGGGTGTACATGCGCAGTTTTGTGTATCAGGGAAAGAGAAGGCGAAAAAACGAATTATTTCAGAAAAGGTAAGTAAAACAGAAATGCTTGGAGGTAAATGCGTATACATGGTTTGGTTCATACGTTTGACTGTCGAGACATTTTAAGCAAAGCCAGAGGTAATACCATCACACACTTACAAGCGATCAGTTCACATACTGTCCTTGAATACAGTGTAAAAATCACTTTCTACTGTCCTTGCGCACACTGCACAAAAACACTTACAGACACTTCTTATGTACATGTATTACACTGCGCCACGGACTCACAAATAGTTCATTGAATGTTACAATGTGCAAACAAATATCATAGAATCTCTATGCACACTGTACAGATTACTCGTACTTACCTGGGGTCTATTGTACTAGCGTCTAAAATGCAGTCTATTCTTGCATTTCTAATTAAACATTGTCCAAAGCTCTTACCTGTAGACTTTTGAAGAGGTTCAAAAGGGGCAACTGTCTGATGTAACCAGCGCGTCTGTCTTTATTAGCGGCAAATTTCACCTGCAATAGGTTTTCAAGAGTTTTTATATGGGAGGTTCGTCGTTATAATCATTTTTCTTGGGGATAGGGAAGGATGCGTGTTGGGCTTGGGCAACAATGTAGAACAATAAATACGATGTCATCATAGATGACGTCATTTTGGAGTGTTTTCTGTCTTCCGAATCGTAATACCACCTCACCTGGGCTTATGTTACCGTGAAGTAGACTCATATTACCATTGAGCAAGTGATCAAAAGACATTAGGGAGTACAAATATATCATAAATATGATTAGTCTGACTGGCAGTCGGAAAGCATACAAATCAATAGAAAAACTGTATAAACCTCTACATTGTATTTCCAAGAAAGCTGTCAGTAAAGGGTTTGGACGTCTTGACATTCTACACGCCTGTAACAGCAAGAGACCCACCTCCCCCATCTCCTCCATGGCAGTTGTGAAGTAGTAGTTTCTTCCATTAGGACTCGTCTGTCTGTCTCCCATCGCCATCAAACTTTTGACCTTGACCTCTTTAGCCCGGGCATTACTGTTATCCACACGGATGACGTAGGAGCTGATCTGAGGAAGAATTTTATGAAGAATAAAAATTCTGTTTCGGAGAGTCTGAGGTTTAAGTTACACGGTCAAAGACCAACGTTCTTAAAAGCAGTTATTTTAGAATATGAGCTCCACGCACAACTCAAAAGAACGTATATTTTGTAGTCTTGGGTTGAAAGACTATTCTAAAAGCTATGGCACCTTTTCTCCGATCAGTTTCACCGGACAATCTCAATTTTTGGTAAATTCCCTTCTTTTATTTTACCTACTATTCTCACGTGTCTTCTTAAATTCTTGAAACCCCTCACAGTGTGAGGCCCAGCTTCAACGTGAAATATTGGTCAATATTTATTTTGACGTTGTTATTTTTTGTAATAGTCTTTTGCTGCCATCGCCCAGGTTTAGATAAATTTGGAAATACGACTGCTTCGAATCTGCCTGCAAGGACCAATCTTTACCAGGTAAAATACCTTCCAGCAGAAAGACGAAGATACTTAAAAAACTATGTTCTTCATACTGAAGCGTATCCCAAGTCTTTTTTCTACACAAGACAAAGAACGTAACTGTTTCTCTACAGACACTGAAACAAAAGGGTTTTCATTGTTTTTAACATACAAAATGAGCAGAATATGGCGCCTTTAATGCCTTACCACCAGAGCCCACTGATATTCCTCTCTGGCCAAAGCTTCCTCTGCTTGTGTTGTGACCTTGTCGATCCCTCCGCCGAAGTGGACCATCCTTTCGGCCATCTCATTCGGCGTGAGGGGCGACAGTTCTACAGGATCACCACTGAACCAGCCCATGTAAGCATTGAATACGCCCTTGACAGACCATTCCACCGTACCTGCGGAATAAGGAAAAAGGAGTTGGAGTAATAGGTTTAGGGTGACATACAGTATTTTTATAGTTCACTACTTATTTTTAGCGCTCTGGTCTTTTGAGGCGCTCCATACGCTCAGTTGGTATTATATTGAGTTGAGGAGCTGATGGCCCTGGTTCGAATCCCATACTTGGCGTTCTTGGACGCAGGTCCATTTGTGGAGTTTTCAAGGCTCTCAATCCATTTGGCACAGTCCTATCGGGATCGGACGTTAAATTCGGTCCCGCCTCTTAAAGAACCTAGCAGTGTTGACAGGGGCGTTAAACCCAAAAACCAAACACGTACTTGATCTTCTGAGTGCTCCTCAGCTTTTTCCTTGATCAAAGTTGTGACGTGCTGCAAGTATGGCCACAGACAAGCACACACACACACACATACACACACACACACACACACACACACACACACACACACACACACACACACAAACACTGACAGTGATTTAATCAAATATGACAATTCCATTAAGGAGCTCGGGAACCTTAAGGAGGGTAGAAGTGGGGGTAATTCATCATCAAGCGCTTTCATTTTCCACACGTGCATAATATACACCAAGCGCAAGAATCTACAAAAACTTGACTTCGCGTAAGGTTTTCACCAAAAGGCATTTTGGTCCCTTTAAAGTATTTAAAGTTGCCAAATATGTTGTTTTTTATTTAGCCTCCAGTTTCTGCTATCGCTACGCTCAGTATTTGGCACGTAAAGGCTTGGATTGAAATCGTAGATGTTTTACGCCCATCGACATGATTTATATCATTTAGAATTTTGAAGGAAGCTTGGACTCTGCCAGTCAGAACCATCCCAAGCTGGGAGGGATGCAACATCCCAGCAGAAAAAAGGGATACTCGATAAAAAAAAAACTTCCCACTTGGAAATCGAACTCTTGTCATCAGTGGGTGCAAGTGAAACGCCAAACTAATGCACCACATACGCCGGAATTTTTAGGCTAAGAAAAAAATTATCTTTACAAAACAAAAGACAAATTATGGGTATGGGTAAAAGCTTGTCTAGAACCGAGTGAGTGTGAGAAATATTCTTCAAGCTCTCTTAAAACCTCCTGAAATTACTGTGAAAGTCAAACAAGTGTTGTGTGAAAAAGCATACAGCAATTTTTGCATGACCAATAGAAATACAAGTAAACATAATGTACTGAAAGGTTATTGGTAAAAGATACTTGCAATAATCCTGATGAAAGTATGATCAAGTGTATTGAGCTGAGTTAAGTTAATTAATCTGGTTTGTGCATCAAAAGGAAAAAGAAAAATTATGGGAATTTGTTCTTACGGTAAAGGTCATACAGATAATAGCATATCGTCGGCCAGCCCTGTTGAACTACACCCAAAATATTTCTTTTCAGGGCAGTTACTTAATCTGTAGTACTGATTGCGTGTGCTAAGGAAATACTTTGCTAAAATTCAAATTCTATCAATGTGTTGAAAAAAAAGAAGAAAATACGTAATATAGGCCCAAATACAATTGTATAAAGAATGAGAGGTTGTTTTTTCTTCTTTTTTTTTGCTTTCCAAGAAACAATGTTGCTTTCTGGATTCAGTACATCTGAACATCTTACCCACGATATGCCGCCTACGTACATTTTGTCTATTGGCGCGAGTGTACTTACCATAAAACTCAAACAAGTACGGGTGTGTGGCAAGGTGTTCGGGGAGGTGGACCACGGCTGCGACCTCATCCGGCATAAGACCCTTGTTCATGTAGCGCAGAGTCTGGTCGTGGACGTACTGTGGACAACAAGTGGTGGAGGTAATAATAGAAAATAGAACAAGAAATAAATATATGAGACATCATGGTGAAATCAACCGCTCGTCAAAAGAATTAAATTGAAGCAACTGGCATTTTCCCACCTGTTTAGCAAATTTTATTAAAATTGTATGTCCATTTAAAAACACATTACTATATGTATTTTACTGGGAAAATGTTGATTTATAGCACACAAAATGCACATTTACAGTTTCCAAGGGCTCTCAAGCTTTTGAAGTCCCCAATCTTTGACGCCATTTTCTCACTAATTTTACTTCTGAAACCAGGCGACTCAAAAATCATTCAATCACAAATATATCGACTTCTATTCAAGATAGACTAGTATATCTTTTTATCAAAAACTTCAATGTGATACCGGTAACTCCATGTGCCCAAAAATTGATGAGTGCCTGATTACACTACGCCGTGACACATATTATGTTTGTGGATAACAGAGGAAGGAAATAACAGAAAAAGAAAGAAATGTGTCGGTGGACAACAGAGCGTGGAAATAAAAATACAAAACTGAAGAAGAAAGAAATCAGTTTTATGAAACAATGATAGATTCCACTTTATTGATCCCCTTAGGAGATTTGTTTTACAATGGCGTACATAAATACACAAATACATTAATACATATTAGAGACGGGCTACCCAAATTTGCCCGTCTGAGTCACAAACCCGCAGCGAAAAGATAAAAGTACTCTATAAAATAAGTCTTGGGTCAAACTCGGGTCTCTGACGAGCAATAATCAAGAGTCTAACAATTAAACCACAGAAGCTGTCTTTAAAAAGCCAATTCAGAAACTGACCTGTATAGCGTCTCTGTATCCTGTCAACAACTCACGGATGACCTCCTGACCCACAATCGGCCGGGTGTGGCTGGGAACCAAGAACTCTGGCTTCAGACTAACCATGCGATCCAGAGAGGATGACCAGTGTAGCAAATCCCTGGTCGGGGTGCCCCGGATTGAGTACAAGTTTGGGAACGCCTGGCAACACGGAATATTGGTTTGTCAGAAGAGACATTCCATTCTATTCTGTAGTTTTTATTTGTCTATAAAATCTCATTCTGATGCACAGACAGTTGAACCTGTCCAAGACAACCGTCCATTGTCGAGGAGAAAATTGACCATCTTAGACATGTGGCTCTGTTCGACAGTATCATTATAATATAGGAAAAAAATCGGAGTCGGGGTGGGAATGATCGTTTGTATGGGTGATTTTCTTGAACAGGTGGTCATCAGAGCAGGTTTGACTGTACATGGTGGATCTACAAAAATGTTTGGGTCTTACCTGTGAAAGAAGGGAAAGTCTCCGAATTATGATTTACAACCACAGTCTCTGACTTCTGCTCCTATGAAGTACTCTGTGCATGGGATCTATTGTATGTGCTCAAGAAATATTTTGTCAAAATGTACATTCTAAATGTTGAAAACCCCAAGAATAAATACATAATGTAGGTACAAAGATTAAAAGATTCAAACAGTTTCTGCTCCTTCGTATAAAAATGTGCATTGTGAGCTTAGCACGTTTTAACAACTTGTGGATTGGTGACGTAAACGAGTTAATTGCTCTCGAGAAAATGAAATACTCGAATAAATATCATCAAATAGGTTTATGATTAACTACAACAACCAGATCTGAGGAGCATTTCCTGAAAGAAAAGTGACTGTCTCTTCAAAATGTAAAGAAGTATTACATTTCAAAACATTATATTATTATATTTACACTAGGGAACAGTTTGTCAGAATATTGTTGCGGGGATATGTTCCTGGCAAAAAATAACTTTATTTTACTGATAGCATAGGGACATCCGATGCTTTCATTTTACCTGATACACGTCATCAGCACACAGCAATGTTTTCTCTCCCGGCACCCAGACTCCAATCTGGTCCTCAGTCTCACCCGGGATGTGCACCAGTTTCATGTTCACACCTGTCAAGGAGTCATTAATATTTTTCTTTAATGATTCGTCCATTAGTGTATGACGAAGACCAATACACCGCAGAAGATAATAATCGTATTTCTCCAGCGAAATAAAATAATTTGAAGAATTTAAGGTTACGATTATTTGTGGTTTCTGCTGTGATCGATGAGACCAATTCTAAAAGTGAAAAGTTTGCCACAGTTTGGTTTGATCATTTAAATGCTCCACTTCCATTTGTGCATGTGCGCAGCTTGTGGGTTTCTCTCTTGGTTTTAGCATTTCTTATTCGTGGAGTCTTATATGATTTGCTGCCCACTGTGACTGCTGCTCTCCAGCTGGGTCTGTCAGGAGCAAGGATTCATTAGAATGATAGTAACTGTTCTGGAACCCCCAACCCCATCCGGGCTCTCTGTTAGCTCAGTTGTTATCATGCTGGACAATATAGCCGATGGCACTGGTTCGAATCTTAGATTGGGCTTTCTTGAACTCGGGTCGTTTTGTGGAGTTTTCAAGTCTCTCTACACAGTTGGCTTGGTCCTATCGGAAACAGACGCTAAATTCGGCGATTCTGCCACGTAAATAACTTGAAAGTGATGACAGGAGAGTTAAAACCCATATCTCCCCCATACAAATGGACAGCTGAAATTGGTCGAATCCACACCACGGCTGTCAACAGCCCTGGCTGCACCCCTCCCTTTCTCTCACAACCCGTTGACCTTGGTCAAATCGTTAAATTGAGATATTCCTACCTATAGACTTGTATTGCAAAATCAGACCGTTCTCTCTGACGTAATATCGATTCACTGAGAAGTGTACCAACTGACTCAAAGGGCAAGGAGAAATGCGAACTCGACTATAACAAAACTGGTGTTTTGCCTTTCAAAAAAATACTTTCATTTGGGCGCCCAAAGCTCGCACGCTTCGCAGCTGAGCTTTTATAGAAGCAAGGAGCGATCGCCGTGACACTGCATGTTCTAAGATAATAATAATAATAATAATAATAATAATAATAATAATAATAATAATAATAATAATAATAATAATAGATCGCATTTGTGTAGCCCAAATCCCCGCTCAGCAGCAAGCTCTGTGCGCTTCACAATCTATACTATTACCCCGGCGGACCTAAGAGCATTCTAAAACAACCTCGACTTCCTAGGAAGCATACAGTGCAAGCAGACATTTATAGGCGCTAAAACACTACCGTACTGACAAGATCTTTCGCTGTCTATGGCCGGGTAACCATTCCCACGTGGGTAAAGTGAGGAAAATTCGTGTAAAGTGCCTTTTTCAAGGATGCGACTCGAACCCCCAATCTGCAGCCTCACGATTACGAGTCCGGTAGCCTAACCACTAGGCCACCGACGCCACAGTATTATTATATTCCAAGTCTATGGTCTTGCCTCACAATACATTACAGCATTAAAGCTTATAGTAGGCCTACTATGTACTGTTATAAAACATACCAGCAATGCGAATGTCCTTCTCTACCCCGGTCATCAGCTTGGTAGGGTAGACAATCCCCATGTCCACTGATCCGAGGTCCAGGCGGAGCGACGGTCCTATGAACGCCAGCAAGGTTGTGTGATGAAGGAGGAAGAAAAGAGAATCTGAACTTACGTCGAAGATCATATTTTTCTGATGGCATTGAAGGCATGGCAGTCATAAGAATAGGAGATATGTTGCTGTCGATTTGAGTGCCGACCTGTTTGTTTGGTTGTTAGCTTTTGGATTTTGTTTATATTTTGCTAGCTGTTCATGTTGTTCTTCTGTCTTTATCGACGGAGACGAACGGCGGAAAACAAAAGGTCGAATAGAATGAGATGGTGAAGTAAGGAAAGTAGTGAAAAGGTAAATGGATCCCTGGTTAAAAGAGTAGTCGTTCGCCTGATAGACCGTTTAACAGTTTAGCTATGTAGGGAAGGGGAGAACAACAAACAGATAGGCATGAAGCGAATCAGCTGTTGTGTGTTCTATTGGGGAGTGCGTTCTGTTGGGTGGGGGGGGGGAGGGAAGTAGAGGCAATTTGTCTTTCCTCTCATTACACGTTATCTAATTGTCTCCTATATGTACAATCCTAATGTCTGTTGATTTCACTCTTTTAATCTGGCCAATTGGTCTTTTCCACCCTCCTCCAATCTCTCTCTCTCTCTCTCTCTCTCTCTCTCTCTCTCTCTCTCTCTCTCTCTCTCTCTCTCTCTCTCTCTCTCTCTCTCCCTGTCTCTCTGTCTCTGTCTCTCCCTCTCTCTCTCTCATGTATATTGTGAATTCTAAAACAATTAGAAGAACGAAAGAACAGTGCCAAGTAGTAAGAATGGCAACGATAATACATCTACAAAAAAAAGAGAATACACACATCATCCTCTATCACCCCTCCCTTTCTTCCTCACCCCAGACCCACCTATTCCAGCGTTAATTAAGTCTGGAACCAAGATGCCAAACATCCTGGCGGCACGGGTCAGGAGCATCTTGTTGGTGTAGAACTGTCTCTGTAAGTGAGTCAGCAACTCGTGGTGGGCCCAGATTTCAGGAGGTTTGCGTGGGTCCTCGATGAAAGCCTGGGGGGGGGGGGGGGGGGATAGAGAAGTTGTTGAAAATATAGACAAAAAACAAACACTGACAGTGGTTAGTGGCTTCATGCTCATAATAATGTCAAACGTATGTTGATGAAAAGTTTGTTAGGTGGATGGCTACTGGGGTGTCCTTGAGCAGGATACGATAATCTTAGGTCAAAAAAAGGACGGGCACTGCACAGTGGAGATCAGCAATGATGTGTGGATTGTCCACTTTTGTAATACTATTCAAGTCTTATTTTTTAAATTGATTTATGTATGCATGTATTTGTGTACTTATGTACACCATAGTAAAACATTTCCCAAGGAGTTCAAAAAATTGAAATAATTTTATTGCATTTACTATTATACCTACTCTGTAACGCTTGTCAAGTTCTGACGCGGTAGGAGATGAAGGGATGGGGTTCAAGGTCTCAACTCCCGTTTCCCCAGCTAGGATCTCTTTTAATAGTGAAGAGACAGATGGCGAGGATGGTTTATTCTCGTCGCACCACTTGCAGTAGTGTCTGCTGGGAGCAAGCAAAATCTTTGCACCAAAGTTATTTTTGTCACTGTAGAGAAATCGTTCTTCCCGCACAAGAAGAAAGGTGCATGAAACTGCTCTTGGCAGCACCAATTTGGTGTAAGTTAAAAATTTGATCCAAGTCTCCGCGATCCTATCTACTACATCAGTAGAGTCTACGTTAACTCATTGAGGAATGGGTATCGAAACTGCTGTCTCCCTCTATTGTGTAGCAAGTCCTGGTGCTGCACGAAGTAATTACAAATCTTTAAATCTTCTCAGATTGTGAGCATAGTGAGTTGTTAGTATTGTTTCCCTTTCTTGCAGCTTGTATGCCGTTTCATCTAGAAACAGTTGTAAATATCGATAGATGTAAACAACGGGATATCCTGCAGGTTCTAATTGACTTTCTCTAGAAATCGTAATAGTGGCTACTAAGCCTAATGTCCCCTTTGTTCACTTTCCAATTACGCACCACCTTGTCTGCAACTCACACGACGCCACTGGTTATAACCCATAGCTGAAAGAACACAGAGACTGAGATTATATTGACAAATTTTGAAAGAGTGTTTCAAAGGAAATTGGAATTCCTAAACGGACACGTAAGTGTTTTTCTCTTCTTTTTCTTTTTTTTTTACCAACTCCCACTCCCCTTTCCAATCATATCCCTCTATCCAACCAAATTGTTACGCCTTCCAAAGTGAAAGCACAAAGGTCGGGATATACCTTAGCCCATAAAATTGGAACTCCAACAACTGAACCTTGTAACGTCCACATTACAGGAACAGTGTTAGGACTAGTCGATCTGGTGTGGACAGGCCTGTCGAGAGGGG